CTATGTAATTTTAAAACGTTTAAAAGTCAAGAAATAACATATTTTATCAGAACATTTTTTAAAAAATAATATTAAAAAAAGAAGATTTTATACTTAAATATAATATAAAATAAATACATAATGATAATCTGTTTTTACATTTAATATTTTATCTAGTAAATAAGGATAAAAAGATATCCATAAAAAATTTTTTTTAAATATTTGTAGATATTTCTATGAAGTAGAGATCATGCATTCAACTAATTCCCAAACAATAATACTAAATTTCAAAAACATTTAATAAATATAATATAATATACTGTAATATAATACAGTTCAGGGGTTTTATATAGGCAAGTTTAAGAAAATTTTAAGAAGAAATACATTTTTAAAATATCTAAAATATGTTGAAATACTGATTAGAAGAACTTTAAATGTTGTTCCATTCAATCCTTTATCACCTATAATTATTAGTGTTATTATGAGATTATAAAAAAACATAGATTCACGGAGGACAAACTTAAGAGAACGATATTTACAGCATTTTAACTGAACTTAAACATCGTATAGAAAAACATTTTACTGCATCATAAAACTCTTATTACTTTTTGCTATCAATCCTCAATCTTCTATAAAAATAAAAAATAAAAAAATGAATCTTTAATGATGAACGATTTGGATTATTCTTTAATTTATCAATAAAGGTAACTTTATGGTATTTGGTATACCTATTGAAAATAAAATCTGCAAATAAGTTTGTCTCACGCAAAACTGTTTACATAGATAAATTAAGGGAATCGTAATGATGTCTATGGCATTTTTTTTATTATTTTATATAACGTTGTATATTTTATATATTAAATAGAAATTCAAGTGTGTATTTACTACTCACCCTATTGAGAATTGTGAATTGAGACTTGGCGTGTGTACCAGCCATGTTTCTTCTTTGACCGCAATTGGCCAATCACTCAAGTTGACAAACTCATCCTCCGAACCCACGTTCATTACCACCAGATAAGTTTCTTCTGATGGCAAAGACCTATTCAAATAACGAACCATAAAGTATTAGATTAATTAGCGTTCACGTAATAATAATTAATAAGAGTATGTACATAAAATATATACGCTTTTTAAGAAAACTAAATGCTAGGAAATGTTTATTTATGATTATATGTGGTTTTGTACACACATACTCGTATTATTATGCGTATGAACAGATAATTAGAAAGACTAACCATTTCATCTTTTACGGGATCTTCATAAACGTTTATATCACTAAACAAATATTCTAATAAATACAACTACAAGTAATACAACTATAACATTGCATTTCAATACATAACTTCAGCGGTCTATATTATGATGTTACAAGAAATTTTAGTCCCAAACCTATACAATAATTGTTTGTTATTTTTTTATTTTTTGACACAGAATAGTCATTGGCTGACGTTAACTAATACCTGTTTGAATCTCCACTTTAAAATAAAATGCATAATTAAAATATTGGCTCCCATTTGTGCGTCCGCGTTTATTGAATAATATCTATGCACCAAAATTCAGAACCCCGAGATCTATATAATCGGCTGTGGATCGCACACACACACAGTCATGCACATTGCACTTTACTTATATGAACGGATAGATAAAAACTTAACACTAATCAATTCTTCCGAAATAACTGCAACTATACCCCACTCGACGAGATCTGTTATCACGTGCGGTTTGCGCCTACCTGGTGAACGCGTACACCCACTCGGACAGCACGTTGGCTTCAAACGAACCGCGCTGTATCGTCTGGGTCTTCCGGAGCCTGGTCAGCCGTTTGTAAACGGTGTAGTGGCTACAGTGTTGTTTCCGTTGCGCGTCCAGGTTCAGCTTCCAATAGTTAGGGTTCACCGGAAGCCACGGTCTCGACGAAGCCACCGTGAACCCGGCGTTAACGCTGGCGTTCCACTGGTACGGCGACCTGGCCGGATCCCTGCTTAATATCCGGAAACCGTCGAGCCCCGCGTTTAGGCCCCTTGGATCCACCGTCTGATCCCAGCGGACGGCCGTATCCAACATGCCAATCTCCTCGCCCATGTACGTGAACGCGGCGCCGGGCAACAACATGTTCAACATGTTCATGGCGTCCACCATTTCGCTGCCGAACCGCGTGGCGACGCGCGGCTGATCGTGGTTTCCGATCTGTAAATATATTATATAGAGCGCTAAATTGTATAATATTATATTTGAATGACGTTTCGAGATAAAAATTGCATAATATCAATGTGATCATGTATAGTTAATCCGGACAATAAATTTCGTAACTGTGGGCTTTGTGTCTTTTAAGTTTAGGACTATAGTACCAACATTTAATAATTAAAAACGACGCATTTATTGATCGATATTTTTTTTATTTTTTTTGTCGACGAAAATTGAATCTATTATAAATCTATGTATAATGAAGATATAATTTTTGTTAATAATTAATTTTATTTACTTATTATTTAAATTTGGATTTTGTATATTAAAATACTTGATGTTTTTATAGCATTTTTAAACATACAGAGCAAATTTTAAATCTTAGAATTGAACCAACTATAAATTTTAATCTATAATACATACGTATTTATTATAATTAAAAAAAAATAAATAGTTTTTCATAGCATTAAATTTAGTATGAATATATATGCTTTATTTAAAATGCATTTTAGTATTTTATAAAGCTGCGAATTCCCAACTCGATGACGAATAAACTATCTATACTTAATAACTAAGAATAATTGTTTGATTGAAATGGTTTTATAAAAACATAATTATTATCTGACATATAAAGTGAGTAGCGGATTTGTAAAAATTATGTAACAGTTTTATAGATAACTAAATTATATAAAAATGTTGTTATTAATTAGAAATGTGATAAAAATGTCTAGTTTTGCTTTTTTTATCATGATACAAATTCTTGTTCATTTTTAAATCGAAAATATATATTATGATAAGCATATAACTTCATTATATTGATAACATTATGGAATTAACCCACCTATAGATCCCACGATGATAGGTACTTACCACCCAGTTCGCACATTTCCCATCAGGCATGTTGTCCAACCAATTATTTACCGCAGTGTTGAATTGAGTAGCGTTTGAATGATCATTTAATTTTTCAATTAATCCAAAGTTAAATGGCATATGTGCTCCTAAAGTGGTCTCATTACCATAGTATCTCATAGTGTTTTCAAGAGTAGTGTATGCTTCAGTTATCATAACTCTAAACACAGTAAATATATATATTACCCCAACAATCAAAATATGATATTTTTAAATACTTAATAAACAAACACAAACATTTAAATTTTAAATTATAACTTATAGTAGGTGTAGATTTTAAAATATGTCACAACTGTATAGTATTTGTACTTACTATTCAACTAATTTCTAACAATTATATATTATATAAAGCAGATTTGAACGAACCAACTTTGTATCAAGTGAACCCAATATCAAGTTTAGAAGACAATTAAGTGTATGTTTATTTATTGAGTTTGAAGATATTTTCAATTTTAAGTGAGTTTAGAAAATCCTTAAATTATTATTTTTATATACTCATAACTCACTTAAAAATTAAAACATAAAACAAACATACTAACACAGATAATATTCTTACTTTCAAGTTTGATAACGGGTCAATTCATTCTACTATTATATCGAATTTGGTATGTTATAGATTTAAAATATGAGAACAACCAAATGCTTCCACTTAATGTTTAAAAATGTATAAATTTTTCAAAAATTGAATAAATAAGAATAAATGTTCAAATGTTTAAGTTAAATATTATACATAAAACATAATATTATTCAGTATAAAATAATCGGTAACAGAATTTAGGTACACTATTTTAAGTTTGAGAATTTGTTATTTTTAAAATAAATCAGGAAAATTGTTGGATGTTTTATGAAATTTAATTATTATTACAGATGAATATAATTTATGGTATTTTTTTCAAATGTATTAGGACATACTTATAATAAACTTTTCTTAGAAATAAAATGTTAATTATTGTATGTCTAAATAATTAATGTATACATTATTTACCTGGTTTTTCCATCTCTCAGCTTATATTCTTCTATCACGTCCCTAAACTGACTAATCATTTCATATGTTTCAGGTAAATCCATTGTGTTGTCATGATAATATTGTTCATAAGTATTTTTTTCCTTTTTAGCAAGCTCTTCTGGTTTCCTGATCTCATCTAAAAATTGCAGATTCTCAAATAAAAACGGTACAGCATCTACTCTGTACCCATCTATACCAAGATCTAACCAAAACCTTAAATTGTTCTGTAAAAAAACAAAAACATAATTTTAATTAAATTATGAAACATAATGAATATTATTTTTTTTTTAAGGCTTTATACTAAATTTAAACCAAAATAATAATATAATTGGTATGTATACTAGCTAGAATTATAGTTTTTGAACATTTTATTGGCTATTTAAAAATTGTGAATACTATAAAATAATATTTTAGTAGCTCATAAACGTTCAAACTTAACTTTATCCAGTTAATTAAAAAAATTATATGCTTCGTTAAATCCATGTTAAAACATCTATATAACTGTTAAAAGAAATCGATTCATTTTTTTTTATTTAATACTTCTATATACATTATACATAAATAGAACGTGTAATTTGCTTAATCTACTACTTAACAGGCTAGTAACCAATAATTATAATCCACAATCCCGATTACTTGATACATTTTCGTAGCGTTTTAGATCGATTTAAATGTACCTATGTACATTTTGAAGTGGTGTAAATAGTTCGACCAGCAGTGATAAGGATTGCTAGTAAAATTACCTAAGAGCTATGTACGATGGGAATATCTGCGCGTGTGTATGTGTATATGTGTTAATATTTGCTTAAAAAAATATTAAAAAATAGTAACAATGTTTTAGTTATAAAAAACAGTTACTTGGTATAAAACAAACAACTTTCAATAATGAATACTAGTGATGATAACTCACAGCACAAGCACAATATTGATAGGTACCCAGATTACACAATATAATATACGGTACTTCTGGTCCAATAAAATAAAACTGTGGCTTGGCGTGGCGTGTTGGCTGCTACCAAGTCGCGAAACACGTTTTTGGAATTCAGTGTACCATTATTTTTAAACTTAATACGATAACTACCACTTATCACAATCTTGTTGCAAGACGAATAAAGTGAAATTAGTGTCCATACAAGGTCTTTATATCAAGTCTACTTTTTTTTAAATTTTAGGTTACCTATGCATAATATTACACGTAAGCTAATTAGATATTTAAAATTTATTTAAAGTGTTTAATTTGACATTTTAATTTACTAATTATAAAAATATTTTGGCTGACGCTGTTTTCATCTTTAAGATAATTTGGCCTTGAATACAAAAACTATTTAAAAAACCTTAACAGTAAATATCAAAGACCAATAAAATTAAAGGCAATAATTTTATTAAACATGTTTTATAAACTATTAATGAGAATACGATTATCGCTCCTGTACAACGTTTAAATTCTAATAATATTTTTACTAATATAATACAAAATAATCATTATTATTAATTTTTTATTCCCTAACTGATTTTAGGTTTCAATCTCAAAATTATATATTCTATTATGTAAATAGTAAGTAAATGTTGCAATAACAGCTATTGGTTTTTTTAAAATATGTTCTTACTTTCATTTCTTTAACCAATTCTTTACTTCTGTAATTTAAATCTGGTTGTTTAGGATCAAATTGATGTAAATAATACTGTCCACGTTGCTCATTCCATGTCCATGCTGAATTACTGAATAAGCTTTGCTGAAAAAATGTTAACGTTATTATAATTTATTTATAAAATTTTAAAAATATTTAAATCTTTATTAGAACAATTTAAATATAACTTCTGTATAAAAAATTTATTTCTTAGAATATATTGTTATAGACAGTTTTTTAAAAGTTAAAAATAAAAACAAACATATTACATAATACTTTTAAAATACATTACCCAATTATTTGGTGGTATTCTCGAGTTATTTGTATCATATTTAGCATCTCTCCACACATAATAATCTGTGTATGGATGAATTTTTTTTACAGATTTTTCAAACCATTCGTGTTCATCACTTGAATGGTTAGGTACGAAGTCCAAAATAATTTTAATGCCTAAATTATCAATTATAGTTATAATTTTTACTTATAAAAATAAAAATGCATTGTTAAATATTAGTTATTACGAATATCCTTGTTTTTATTTAATAATGAATTTATTAAAACTCTGGTCTATGGAATTTTCAAGTATACGTAAGAACTATATATTTACAATTTTATGAAGGATCTATTATGTGATATGATTGAGGAGCACGCTTTTATTACCAATGTTAAATATTTATTTGGTTTTGACTTAATTCTTCATATGATAGGACAATTTAAAAAAAAAAGTTTAAATTAAATTATTTTAAGGTGTTTTAATAGATTTTTATGAACATTTATAAGTTAAGTATTTTCCTAAAATAAATGAAAATGTATTCATCATTTAAGTATTGAGAAATTTATCTATGTCTATATATTAACCAACTAAAGTATTTTGTTTATTTAAAATGTGAAAAAAAATCAATTAAAAAAAAAAACATTTTTATTACTTCCTTTTGCTATTATTTACTACTTAAACATTACTATTACGATTTAGATAATTCGTTGATATATAGTACAATTAATATATATATTAAAAATAAAAGGAGCAATAGCATTTTATAAATAGATGGTTAGTATTTTACCTCAAAGTTTAGTAAACAACATATTATTGTATTATTTTTATTATTTATTGGATAACCCGGTTTCTAAAAACAATTTAATTGCAGTGTTTCTCAATTTATGATTTACTTATCGATTTGAAAGTTGATTAAATCACTTTGTTAGATGGATACATATGAATTTTATAAAGTGGTTTGATGAAAAATATCATTATTTACCCAATGACTTCAACTTTTTGTGTAATGAAACAAAATCATCCATTGTGCCATATACGGAATCAATCGCATTGTAATCCGAAATATCGTAACCAAAGTCAGCCATAGGCGATTTGAAAATAGGGGATAACCAGACACAATCTACTCCTATGTCTTTGAAGTGTTCTGCTTTTTCTTCAATCCCTATTACAAAATTTAAAAAAAACACGTTATTTTTTAATAAAGTATCTACGTTTTTTTTTCTCTAAGATTAATGAAATAATATAACTTACCTTTAAGATCTCCTATGCCATCACCATTGCTATCTTTAAATGATCTTGGATAGATTTGGTAGAAAACTGCAGTTTGCCACCAATCTAAGCTTGTTTTATCATCTGTAACGGGAGTATTTTTTGAGCTGGCTATGTATTCCGCCAAATTTAATATTAACAAGACCATGATACTGAAAAAAGTTAAACGTGAAATAAATTAATGTTAGACAATTTGATCGCTTGAATTCATCTGACATGTATTTATACAATAATAATGTTGTGTCATAGCTATTACGCTTACCATTCGCGATGCATATTGAAGACTCGAGATAATCTATAAGTACTAATGATATATGCCACTCAAACTGAATGTGTAAATACTGTCAACAGTGGAATAAAAATTCAAAAGTTAGCTTAAAAAATAAAAATAGTATAATACAGAAATATATCAAATATGAAAAACAATTAGACGAGTGTGTCAATAGACTTCAGAAAAGACAAAAATCTTGTACGTCTGACATGTAACTAGCATCAAAGAAAAGAATTAACAAATATTGAATTTTTGAACTCCGTATACTTTCCGTGTAATTTTTAGTTATTTTTTCAGTATTATATTTTTTTTTTTTTTTTTTGGTCATTTCACATATTTCTATTGTATACTATTTTTATTTTTATTTTTTTTTTGCTAATAATCTAAAAACCATTACATCTAAATCCTATCTTTATATTATACTACTTTTTGACATTTATTTGACTTTTTTGATATTTATATTGTACACATTTTTACATGTAGTTTGATGATAGAATGATATTATTGACTATTTAGACTATGATTATTATTATACAATATTTTATAAAAATTTTATTTTTATTTTTTCTATTTTGATAATTAACACTATACATATTTACTAGTTACTACTTAGGTATAAAACTTATATTTATAATATATACTTTATGTATACTATAATAGTACAAAATGTCCGCGTTCTGCAATGTATCTTTTTACCAGACCGTACTAAGTGTCCGCGTTTCGCACTTTTAATGCCTGACCGTACAAAGTGACCGACAACCAACTCCCGGATGGGTGACCACTCGGGATCATAGTGGTTAAAAACCTTTCCACACATACACGTGTTTGCCATCAACCTTAACAATCGTAAAATACAACCTACCGTACCAACCTTATCCTTTACCATAGTTCATAACCTCTACAAACAGCTAATGGCCCTAGTTGCTGGGGTTCAATAAAAAAAAAAAATAAAAAAATATTTACATATCAATGAACTTTGTCCTATAGATAAAATAAAAATTATAACATTAGATTGATTTATAAAATAATACTAACTATGTAAATACACATTGCACTGGATTACTAAATTGTTATATTGATTGTAATAAGAATATTGTATTTTCATGCATAATATTAGTATAATGATAGTATTTTTTAACAAAATATTTTGTTGAACACGATAAAGAGTCAATAAAATAACTGGATAGAAGTTTAAAAATTCAAAACTTATTTTTACTATTCAAACGATTTTTGTTTTTTGTTGTAATTCAATAAAGAATAACAAAGCTTAAATCAACTTAAATTACTCTATATCTAAAAACAATAAAATAATTTTTTCAATGAATTTAAGAGATAACCTTATCATTGCTTACCTGAAAAATTTCCGCTACGTCTAGACCAGTGTTTTTTAAATATTTTTAACCAAGGAACCCTTTTTGATGTCTACTTTAATCGTGAAACCCTACTTTTTTTTTAGCTTTTTTTTTTGATTATTTTCAATGAAAAATTATAATTATTTCGTGTAATGAAAATGTTTTAAGGGTATTTAATTCAAGAAAAATAAATAAATAAATAAAAATAAAAATACTTAAATTACTTTAATTAGGTTAAATTTTAATTTTAATGGGATAATGAAATTGCTTTTTATTATTACAAATATTTTTAATATTGAGATTTATTGATGAAACCTGCACACACATTTTTTTTCCCCACTAGCCACTACTAATCTTTAGTTAGATATTCAAAACAATTTTCTTAAAAATTTTGAAAAAAATTACATAAGCTCTGTTGAACTCTGTAGTGAACCCTATAGGGTTCTGCGAAACAGAGGTTTAAGAAACACTTAACTAGACTATACATCTTCATAATGTTTTTTTTATCAACTTAATAGCGAATTTACTTATAACTTATAAATTTTAAATAATATAACAAAAGTAATACATTTGTATAAAGTTGCAATATATAGTTCTACTCCATAAATATTAACCATAGTTCCAAGATTTTATGCTCAAGTTCACTTATTCTTATTGCCATATATGCTAAAAATTTAAATTCTTAAATACTCTTAATTTTAATAGATTCTGGGTTAGTATTGATCTTAGAATTTCTGTTAACATTTATACGATATTAAATTTCCAATTTCCTCAAGTTTATATGCTAATATTAACATTTCCAAACTTATCGTCCTTTTTTATTATATATAATATATATATATCTGCAACATCCAAGCACAGATAAGATTCTTGAGGGCTGTTAACTTTTTCAATTTTTTTACATGGTTACGTTTTCGTTGACCTTCAGCTCGATCACTTTATAGGGTTCTATCTATTTTGGATTAAGTTACTGTTTCCATGCGTTATCCTTATGTAGCACGTAATCCCCCACACAATCTGATTCTGCTTTTAGTTGTAAGATTCCTTCGTCTTTTATTTTTGTTCCAATAACAAACGTTCCTTGGCTACATGATGTGATATTTAATTTTTTGCCATTTCCTCTCTAACACATATTTAGGCCTCAATAAAGTTTTTGAAACTTTTGCTTTCAGGAGTAGTCTATATGATTCCGACAAGTCACTTATAAAATCATTTAGCATTTGGTTGCGTAATAACTTGTCAATGCCCTTTCTATTTGCATAGTAGTACTTTATCTAGCTTATACAAATTCCCATTTGAAGGATTACTACTGAGGCAACTAGAATTATTTAAATATAACTAATACTAACGTTTGACCCTGATTTCTAGTCTTAAAGTTACAATAATTCAAAAGCAACACGATATTCTGACCAAAAAACAAACAACCCCGATGAAATAAAATTAATTGATTAGTATAGAATTAAAATAAATTAGAATATAATTCAAAACTAATTGATAATACGGTAAATTAAATAATAATAATAATAAATACGAAAATGACTAAAGTAATCATTCCCGACGTAAAAGAAAAAGAAAAACTTACGAAATGTTGTGTAAAAAATACCACTGCATATATCGGATTTGTATCGAGTATCGACTATCGATTGTTGTTGTTTACCACTTGATAACACTGTTGTTGATAACGACACAATGTTGTTAATAAATTGTCTCACTCGTTTGACGACAGTCACTTTGTTCCACTAGTTCGACGGCTACGTGCACTGGAATACGACAATACGTCTCCCGATGACGATAGCGTGTAAGGGGAAACAGTGAAAAAGACAGCGGTGCCGATGACGAGATTGTCTTTCCGATCGACACGACGGAAGTGCTTGCCCGTTAGTTGTTCCACTCCTATAACGTAAACGAATTGCCTCGACTCGGCGGCGCGTATACCTCGATGATATTACACTGTATATTGAATATGAGAATATATATTTATACAACAGTAACAAAGATACTAACTGACGATTTTCTTTTTTTTTTTTTGATGCTCTAAAATCAGGACTTGGTTCCCTGTTCTCGGTTTTCTATTTTCATTTTTTTTTTTTTTTGTATACAAAAATTAAATCCCAACGGCGGTAGCCCACGTAGGTTCTTTAGGCTGTGACTATACACGGCGTTTTTCGACGAACTAGCTATACAAGGCGTATTCGTCGAGCGTATTCTGCCGCGTATATCTGTACAATATCTAAAAAAAAAAAAAAAATAGTAAACCCCATAATTATTGTATCAATAATATAAACATTGCATTACCGCATTTGAATAGTTCAAATCTATTTATATTATTTATTGAATAGGTAATTAAAGTAAATAGAAAAAATATTGAATATCCCTAAATTGAAATATATTAAATACAACTATTGTAATCATAAAGTGATGGTATAAACGCGAAGTTTTCCGTCACCAGTATAGCCCATCCCAATTTAAAACAATGTAAAATTAGGAGTTGGCGTTTTTATTATTCCGACATTCGTCCGCCAAAACGCAAGCCGACCGGCGTTTTCCGCTACGAATGAAAACGCGGCGTATTACAACCATCGTAAAGAGTTACTTCGATAAAAGACAATGAATCTTGAATTCGACGGAAAACGCTAAAGATTTCCAAAATTGCACTGACATTAAATAAAATAAACAACATATTAATTTTATTAATAAATGTATAGTGTGAAATAATACTTGTGATGAATTTTTTTTTTTTAGAATTTTGATAGGTTATTAGTCAGTACTAAGTCAGGGTCAACGGTTCTTTCAATCACTTCATTCGAAAAAAACGAATCCAAATTTTTAATATTCAAATTATATTTTTCATCGAATATAATAAAAAATTTTCTTACGAAAGGTTCTATTATTGAAGAAACCAAAAAATTAAAGTGAACACACTCAAAAAACACACATGTTTTGGATTAGTTATTACTAGCTTTCTGAAAAGCTATACGAATACGAAGCAAAAATAACGTATCAACAGTAGACTTATTATGCCCTTATATAATATTCATCATGCAATTAAATTATATACTTTTATGTATATAATTGTGTATAACAATTTAATTTTTTTATTTATAAATTTTAGGCTTAAACAGAAATAGTTATTAGCTTGTTGTCGCCTCCTATTGTGAGGGAGGGTACGATTGGAACACGTGTAATAAATAGCAAGGATTTGTCACTAAAAACCCAGGTTGGTCATCTAATCGGGAGTTAGTGAACCCAGTTGGTGCTTGACCACAAAAGTCAAAACACGTAAGTGACTGAGGCCAACCATCATTTTAAGCACTTTAAGCCTTGTGTGTAATATAATATAGAGGTACCCAATGGGAGTTGTTTTAATATTTATTTATAGTCGTAACTAAATTCTTACCGTTTTTTAAATAATTATTGATCCTCAGAGAACATGTTTAGATATAACTACCTAGCCTTGATGAATACTTGTCAGTATTTGAAAACCTATTAAGAAATCTAAACATGCAATCAATTATTATTTATTGTTGTGTAACATATAAATGGTTAACCAAACATAGAAATTAAATATTTATACAAAACCAACTTAATATTGATTTGTATTCCGGCGAACCATAATAAATAAAAATGCAATTTTGGAACTAATGGAAAAAAATTATTTCGAAATATTTACTCATAAATTAATTATATAATTTAGTTGTGAAAACTAAATATTTAAAGTGACTGCTATTTGGTTAACTCGTCATTATTTTTGCGATAGATTCGAAACTCTATTTGAACATAAACTCATGATTTTGACTGCGCAACTTACTATTTGTCCTTCCAAGTCGTCTATTACAGTATGACAGTCGAGTAAATAATTTAATAGGTACCTTCCTATATTTTAACGCACTTGTAAGGTCAAGGACAAGACTATTTAACCGTACATATACCCAAAAATGCTCACACTAGTCGTCAGACGATTACCCCGACACTATGATGTACTTTTGTTATATTTTTTTTTT